TGTAGGATTTAGGGCCCTAAACCCTAAACCCTAAACCCAAAACCCCAAAACCCAAAACCCTAAACCTAAACCCAAAACCCCAAAACCCAAAACCCTAAACCACGGTTTTAAGTTTGAGGGTTTTCGAAGTTCAAGGCTTAGGGTTTCAGGGGGTTAGGGGGAGCTTTAAGGTTGCGCCGAGGGGCCTGAATAGTCAGGGGTTAGGGTTGAGGGTTTAGGGTTTAGGGTTAGGGTTTAGGGCTTAGGGCTTAGGCTTTAGGCTTTAGGGTTCGGGTTTAGGGCTTAGGCTTTAGGGTTTAGGGTTAGGGCTTGGGGCTTAGGGTTTAAAATTTCGCGGGTATGGTTAGGGGGTTGGGTTTAGTGTTTAGGGTTTAGGGTGTAGGATGTGATACAAACATGACAGTATATTGGGGAGGCCTAATCAAGGGGCGCTATGATTTGACTGCGGTAGGGCTCTGCAGACTACAAAGGCTGCAGTAATAATCTAGAAGTTGGGGTTTGTTAAAGACTAGATAATCATTTGAGGGCGTAGAGCTCCGGGATTCGGGGTTACAATAAAACTGGGTTCCTTTCAGGCCCGATTCTAGACAAGGATCCCAGTCATGAATAGCTCCCTAAACCCTAAACCCTAATATACAAGGCTGGAAAGACCTGAGGACATGAACGCATTGTCCGGGTTCACATCATCGTAAGGGCAGTACAACAGTTAGTCGATATCACCTTTGGTAGAACTGACATTAAGTTCCTGAAGAGTGCAGTATTGTCTGGGTCGATGCGAGGCTTCTCGTAGCGACAAATTCACTTTGAGTTTGGGTTTGTCAGCCGGTCTCTGAGTATGGACCCTCATCAACTTCAAAAGCATAGGACTCAGGTACACAGTCGAACATCTGGGTGGGCTTCTTAATGTTAGGTGTAATTTCTTGGGGTCGTTGTGATATTGATCCTGCTGTTTTGGGTCTACATAATGTCCCCCAAAATAGGCTCCTTGTTGCTATAAGGTCCCCCCTACGCAGTTATGATGTAGAACGGCACATTCTTGAAGCCAAGCTACCGGATGGCCGATTGGTGGACCGCTGGCCACAGCTTCAAGGTATTCCTTGGCTGCACTTAGGCTGGGGTTCAATTCCTCTGAACGGGGAAGGAAGGAACAGATCTTCCTGACACCTTACCCTTTTTGCAGTGTCGGAGGATCAAGACCTATAGTAGCAAAAAAATGTAAGGACCCTAAAACCTGTAAAACTTGTAGTAGCCAAACAAATATAAGGACCCTAAAACCTGTTGATTACATGAAGCTGAGGGTTAAGAGTCCAGGCTCGAGCCCGAAATAGTGCAAGTGCCAGCAGCCCCCCCCCCCCCTCAAAACGGCACGGCACCCTCTAGCCCTAAACCCCTAAACTCTAAACCCTGAACCCTGCCCCCTACCCCGTATGACTCTCCCTTGAATGTGTTGAAGCATCCTTTCACATGATTGAAACTTTGTCGGGTAGCACGAAGTTAACCACAATTTTTCGAATCCCTACCACTATACAGCTTCTGTTCGCGACATCGGCGGTTGCGGTTACCGATTCGCCGTCTGTTAGAGGTTCGGAGTGGCCTAACCCATAACCCTAAACCCTAAACCCCTAAACCTTAAACCCTAAATAAACCCTGAGCCCTAACGCTTCGGTAGTCTGATGCTGCAATGGCAGAGAAGAGCCCTGACTGAAGACCATGATTTCATGGGTTTAGGCTTTAGGGGTCTAGGGTCAGCGATTCACAACGCTGAAAATCCCTTAAACCCGCGCTTCGTGGCGGTTTGGTCTAAGGCTTGAAACCCGGAAACCCTAAACCCTAAACCCTAAACCCCGAGCCCTAAACCCTAAACCCCTTAAGCCCTTTAGCCCTTAAGCCCTTCAGCCCTTATGCCCTTCAGGTCTAAGATTTCGTCCTCAGCCGTCAGCCCCCAAGCCCACTGCAACCTGAATCCAAAGCCCGGAATAACGCTCAACTCGAAAGCCTGGGCCCTAAACCCCAAATCCTCGAACCCTAAATCCTGAACCCTCAACCGCTGCAGTGTGCGCCAAGCATCAGCATGCTGCGAAAGATCGCCGCGAAGGGCTCTGGAACCTTTGGCAGCCCCCAGCGCAGGGGGTTGGGCGGTTTAGGGTTTAGGGCTTAGGGCGTTGATGATGCCGAGGTTTGATGGCTCAGGGCTTTAGGGTGTTGGCGTCCAACCGAAGACCCTTGAAACCCCCAAACGGGCCTACAAAGGTGGAACTAAAGCAGGCCATGGAATACCTAATGCAGGGGCCTTAATAATTAGAATAGGGTTTTGGGGTATCTGATACTATAATCATAATAAGGGGCCCACCAAAATAGTATTGGTAATTATTCAAGCCCTTACGTTAATAACGGTCCTCATGGAAGAGGTCCACAGGCCTGCTACCCTTGACCCTAAACCCCTAAACCCTAAACCCTCCCACAAAAGCGTCACAGGCATGTTGAGTAGGGCGGAAGATGTGGGACTTTAGGGTTTGTGGTTTAGGGCATTTTTTCAGCAGTTGCTACTGTGAACATTCATGCAATGTAGGGGACTTAATCATTAGGATAGGGTTTTGGCAGTATCCTATACTATGTATTTATGATAAGGAACTCCCAACTAGTATTGGTAGTTATTTAGTCTCTATAGTATACACCTTGCAGTCTTGAGGTTGCGGCGGTTTTCCGCAGCAGTCGGGCGCCGAAGCTGCGCTGGGCATCCACATGCCAGTCTCGAACGATCATTGAGTGCTCGATGAGCCTGGGCATAGTATGGTTCAGGCTAAAGGAAACTACAGGTCAGGAGTTTTGGGTATGTAGGGCTTCTTTAAGGCTTCTATAAGGTATATAGACCTTCTATACGGCTCCTATAACGTACCCACCTGAAAATGTCCTAGATCAGGGATGCTTAAAGTTCAGGGTGCAGGGGCCATCTGCACCAAACCCCAAGCACTGGGCCTTAAATCCCCACTGTAAACCCTACAGATCTCAGTGCGAGACGTAACCACCCGGAGCTGAACATAAGGTCTCGTATACAGGCGAAAGAAACATAGACAAGCTCCAAGTTTAAGTAGAGCTCCATCAACGTGGTATGAACTACTTCCATGTGCATGAGCATGACTCGCACATGCGAAGCAACTTGCAAGGCTTCGGGTTCGCTTTCATGGAAAATGCATCAGACAGACATACCCTCAACCAAAAACAGCTCTTCACAGCCGAAACTCGTATGCACCTTGCCAACAACAATCGAAAATCTTAGAAGCATGCGCGAAACTATGTAGGCCCCTCAGTAATGTCCAACCTTTCCCTGAAGGGCCAAAAACTCCAAGACTCCCTTGCTTTGTCCCACTAAACCAAGTACCAGTTGTCTTTCGCGAATGAACCCGAAACCCTAAACCCGAAACCCTAAACACCTAATTCCTAAACCCTACACCCTAAATCCTAAACCCGAATGAACCGTAAACCCTAAACCCGAAACCCTAAACCCTAAATCCTACACCCGAATCCCTAAAACCCTAAACCCCAATTCCGTCACCAAAGCTTGCCTCCTTTTTCCCACTGCGGCCCGGGAGCGCGTCAAGCCCACGAGAGGGCGTGGAATAGTTGGTGATCTTCTCCATGTTTGAAACAATCAAATCCGGAAGGAAAGCGTCGACCTTGGGAATAGGGATTAGGGTGTAAGGTTTAGGGGTTTAACCCAAAGAGCCCAATACCCCTCAATTAAGGAATGTAGACCTCAAATCATATAATCTTAAGGCCCCATATAGTTTAAGGTATATTCCTTGTTTAAGCGGTCTTGGGCTCTTTGGGAATGTAGGGGCCTTAAGAATTAGAATAAGGTTTTCGGGGCCCGCTATACTGCAATTATAGTAAGGAACCCCCAAAATAGTACAGGTAATTAGTTAGGTTCCTATAGTAACAAGGCTAGGGTTTGAGGTTTGGTGCTTTGGGAAGGCGCGGGGGTGTGTCATTAGCATCACCATACACCGAAGGTGCGAGCTTATAGACACGAAGTAGCGACATGCACACACAGCGCAAATTCGAAAGTTAGGAGAAACCAGGGTGGTGGACATGGTACCGAACGTCGTCATCGAAAAGTAGAACCACCGGCGCTAACAACAACAGCTGTGGTAACTGCGACAGTACTGCCGGCGGACACAAATCGAAACAGCAACTCTGATGTCATTGTCATTGCTACAGATGCCACCCTGCGAAACGGAAATAGTGCTGATGCTTGCAGTGGCCAATAGTGATGGTAGAAACTAAACAACAACCACATCTCATCCGCAACGACGATTCGGCGAAGTTCTTTCCTTGATCTTCCCACAGCTGGAGATACGAAACATAACGGACGAAATCCCAATGCCTGCGGATGCCTCAGCCCAGAATGTCCATCCCCGCATGGAGTACAGAAGATGAAATTCAAACGAAAAATCAGGAAGCCTCAGAATTACATAGTTCGGAAATCCTCAACCACAAACACACCGTCCATCCTACACCCACACCCTAAATCTTCAAGTCCTACAGGCTGAACCGTTCACCCGTTAACGAAGTGCTGGGAGCCCCGGCAAATTCAGCCAAGGGCTGGAAGGGACCCGCGATCTCCCAACGGGGATCCTCTCCCAGCTGGGCCCTAACACCGAAACCAAGTCCTGACCCTAAAGCGTGGACGAAAGGTTAGGGTCTGTGATGACAAGGACGACTGAAACTTCGCAAACAGTCTGAGGTTGCTCCCTCCCTCAATGGCAACTGTGGCCTGGAGCAAAGGTTCCAGCTTGGGGATGACCATGCTAAAATCCGACCCCGAATCCCAAACTCCAAAGTAAGCGATCTCGCATCCTATGCTGTACCATTCGATGACAACAATGCTCCGGAATCCAGGCTGTGCGGGTGTGAATTTGTAGGTTTTGGCCCGCTATGTCTGCCATGTATCGGGCTCGGAGGCTTTAGGTCTGCAAAGCCAATAGGTTCAGGGTGGACTTGCCTTATTTAGGACGGACTTTAGGGTCGCCAAATTTAAATACTCACAGATTGCAAATATATCATGCATATATCATATATACACTATATATATATATACATACAGCAACCTGGACCTAGCACCGATCATTCCGACCAAGCAGTTTCCATGTCCGCACACACACACAAAGAGTGAGGGATCAAAAAACCAAACATGCATCAAACAAACAAATAGAAAGGATTTAGCACACAAAAAATCAATCAACACATGAATAAAATCCTGTCTTTGGCTGTGCTGGGCTGGCCTGTGTGGGCTGGGCTGGGAGGCTGGGCTGCTGGGGCTGGCGATTGGGTCTGGGGCTGGGGGGTGGGGCTGCAGCTGGGGCTGGGGCTGGGCTGGCGGTTGAATAGTTTGGGTTCCACCAGTTGAGGCTCCATGTCGGGATCTGTTTTTAAGGTTTGCGGTTACGGTTGTTTTGGAGCTTCTTTTTCGGGTTCAGCGGCATTCGGGATTGAACAGCAGTAGTGGTGTAGTAGTAGTAGT